TTACTATAGAACTCATAGAGAATATACACCTAAGTCTAAGAAAAAGCTGTGTAAAAAAAACGTGTAAAAAAAGACATTGATCTTATACAAAAATGGGTGATTTGTTCCTAATCTCTAAAACCTATTAAAATTGGTGAAAAACAAGAATTTTTAAGAACAAGAATTTATGTTTATTTTATTAAATCAAATATATAATGCTTATTTTCACAAGCATAGTAATTAATGATAAAAAAGATATGCACTCTAATCTTAAAAGTAATATAAATTAAATACTAGATACTATCGATGGTTTCAGACTTTTTTATTTCATAAATACTTTTTTGTGATATGAACATACTTCGCAAATATTAAATTTGACAAAAAAAATTTAAGTACATAAAATTTCAAATCGTGCTAAATGGAATAAAATCGTGTAAAAAAATTAAAAATATTCAATTTTCAAACCGTGTTATATCAAAACCATGTACAAAAAGACCGTGTAAAAACAGACTTAGCTGTAATTACCAGTTTCATTACACTAAAGATCTTAAGATTTTGTCGTTATTCAGTAATCTATTGTTATAATGTTACTGTTTTAATTGATCATAGCCAAAATAATTTAGAAATTCTATTAGTTAACTTTCATAAAATTTACCTAATTTTATATGATAGGCTTCATATGCAGCAAGGTTGTATGGCTAGTAATACTTACATAGAAGCAACATTAACACAACAAATTCCCTGCAACGCTACTATAATGGAGTCTGGACCAGTTGTGGCTAGCACAGAGTCACCGCCACCAGGATATATATCTGAAGACGGAGATCCTATGGACATAAATGATAACCTTAGTAAGTCTTTAGTACACCTAAGTCTATTTTTACACGGTAGATTGGTTCCAGAAGAAGCCGTGTAAAAAATGTGTAAAAAAAGACATTGATCTTATTCAAAAATGGGTGATTTGTTCCTAATCTCTAAAACCTATTAAAATTAGTGAAAAACAAGAATTTTTAAGAAAAAGAATTCATGTTTATTTTATTAAATCAAATATATAATGCTTATTTTCACAAACATAGTAATTAATGATAAAAAAGATATGCACTCTAATCTTAAAAGTAATATAAATTAAATGTATGGCAAGTTCAGGAACTAAAAAACTATGTTGTGAACGAAAAGAATAGGTTATTCAATTTTTAAGGTAAAAAATAAAATAAAATAGAATGATTGATAATCATAAATACAAAGAATCTCAAAGTCTCTATGATTGCTCTGACCAGTAAATTTTATTGTATGCACATAAAGGGAATTCCCCTAAATTAGTGCTATTCACATTTGCAGTGCACAGTAAAAATTGTTTGTACGCGCTAAAGGGGAATTCACTTAAGGGGGGCGATACATGTAACAAGAAAAAAAAAATCGATTTTTTTTTTTCATAAATCGTTACAATAACATCTCAAAAATATGCCTGTAAATATTCAAAACAAAATTATCATTATTTATACAATAAAAACTCATTTAAGTGCCACGCCTCAACTCGACGCTTGACTGCTATTTATTTACTCTTATCTGTTTCTATGTGTCAAAACTTTAAACGCGTTTTTCTCAAAACGACATTTTTGAAATTTGCGGGCGGGATAACTCAAAAAGTTCTCAACCGATTCCAATGAAATTTTGCACATATCTACTTTACAGTAATAGCTTCTAGTTAAACCTCAAACATTCCAAAAAAATTTTCAAAAATTAACCCTTTTACCAAAAAAAAACATTGAAAAAAAGGTGAAAAATCGAACTTTTTTTTCTGAGGTGTGCCAATTTACGATTTTGTGACTTTTTTAATTTTTTTTTGGTTTAACTAGAAGATATATGTTTTATGAACACGTACAAACTAATTTTTTTGATTTCAAATCACCGTACGAAAAGTGAGAACGCCCGCAAATTGATGGCGTTTTCCGAGAGGGTCTTGGCAGATTTATTTTTACGGCAGCCATTTTTAAAAAAAAAATTAAAAAAAATTTTGTTTTGTGTATTTTAATATATAATAAATAACCCTAAAAAAGTTCAAAAAGATTCAGTCATTCCTTCCCAGTTTAAAAAGTCTTCAAAAAATGGTAAAAATTAAGGCGATTACATGTATCGCCCCCCTTAAATCTTTAAGCTAGTGTTCGCAAACTATCGATACTATCGATGGTTTCAGACTTTTTTATTTCATAAATACTTTTTTGTGATATGAACATACTTCGCAAAAATTAAATTTGATAAAAAAAAATTAAGTACATAAAATTTCAAATCGTGCTAAATGAAATAAAATAGTGTAAAAAAATTAAAAATATTCAATTTTCAAACTGTGTTATATCAAAACCGTGTACAAAAAGACCGTGTAAAAACAGACTTAGGTGTACTTAATAGATGACCAAAACCGTGATCTTTATTCAATAAATATATTTAATCTTGTTATAATACAATGAAGTCTTGCAAAGACTAACTAAAGAGTAATTTCCATAGAACTCAACTATCATTTATCCTCTGGACTATTTATTTTCCATTAGATCAGTCTCGTCTAAGCCCAAGTCCCTTGCAAGATGCACAACCTGTGATGTATTACGAGCCTGCATTTTGGTGTTCCATAAGTTACTATGAATTAAATATTAGAGTCGGGGAAACTTTCCATGCTAGTCAACCATCCATTACTGTTGATGGATTTACAGATCCCAGTAATTCAGAACGGTATATTATATTACTACTTAAATGTGTACACTTATTTGCACATAAGCCAATATTTATTTGTTTGTCAGCTTTTGTCTTGGCCTGCTTTCAAATGTCAACCGTAACGAAGTTGTGGAACAAACTCGACGCCATATTGGTAAAGGTGTTCGGCTTTATTATATAGGTGGGGAAGTATTTGCTGAGTGTTTGAGTGATTCAAGTATATTTGTCCAGAGTCCTAATTGTAATCAAAGGTATGGCTGGCACCCTGCAACAGTTTGTAAAATACCGCCAGGTAAAAACATTTGATGATAATAAATTATATAAATGGTCTAATATTGATTTGAATGCACACATTTTTAAGGTTGCAATTTAAAAATATTTAACAATCAAGAGTTTGCTGCATTATTATCTCAATCTGTTTCCCAAGGATTTGAAGCAGTGTACCATTTAACTAGAATGTGTACTATCAGAATGTCCTTTGTAAAGGGTTGGGGTGCTGAGTATAGGTATCTTGAATTCAGGATTTAATATGTCCAATTATTATTACTACATTTCTAATATGTCACCTTTATTAGGCGGCAAACTGTTACTTCTACCCCATGCTGGATAGAGTTGCATTTAAATGGACCTCTTCAATGGTTAGATCGTGTGTTGACGCAGATGGGCTCTCCAAGATTACCTTGCAGTTCTGTTTCTTAAATTAGTAGAAACAATACTTATTTAAGTAATGCTAGATATTCATGTTCAGGTATAGTTTATAGTTGATATACTAGTAATATCTATTGGAGGTTGGATTCAAATTCACTTATTTCATGTGATGTTGTTTTACACTTTTGGCTCATCGATACTTAAACAACCTTACATTGATTGCTTTGAGGAAGTTTTAATCTTTTGACAAAAAAAAATTGATTTATTTTTATCAAGTCATATATGTGTTATATTTAATGGGAAGTACAGCTCTAAGGCAGGTCCATCAGCTGTGTTAAACTCCTACATGATTCTGGGAAGAATGACCAGAGAGATTTCCTATTGCCATTTCACACTGCAGTGCCAGAACCGAGTTTATCATGCAGTAGTGATATCAGATTTTACTTGAAAATATAGATCAAAAATGTTTGAAGATAGCCGATTTTGAGCACTACGGTATGAAGTGGCAATGGGAAATTTTCCTCGGCATTCTTTCCTGAATCGAGTTGATTTATCTGATGAACCTTCCCTAGAGTAGTACTACCCATTACATGAAGCACATATGTGTGCATGTATTACTTTTGTTTTAATTATTTTCTTTTACATTTGAGTTGGTTTTTATAAAGTTACCATATATGTGGTATTGAGTAATATTTTTATCTGTGAAGACGAATGTTTTTTTGTGATTTTTAATGTAAAATTAATGTTATTTAAATCATAATATTTAAGCATCTATACTGAATTTAATTTCTTAGCAGTCTTGAAATATTACTAAAAGACTGCTGAAAGTCTATCACTTTTGATCTTGTCAATCAAGTTTCGATATTACTGTAGCAACAGGAACATGTCTTTATCGAATTATTTCTTTATAGAAGTTTTTACATGTAATTCTTCAATCTAAAGTGAATTTTTATGCAAAACGATACAAATTTTGTCAAAATTTGTCTTTTTTTTAAGAGATTATATTTGGAAAATCAATTTATCATATAATGAGAAATAATTGTTATTTATTTTTATAACATTTTTTGGAATCAATATTTTACTACTGATAAAAAAAAAATATATATATATAGTTATTTTTGTTATTTTTTAAATTAGGATTTAGGAAATTTTCAAATCATCCAAATTATTTGAAACTTGAAACTCGCACGCATCCTCAATAATTAGTATTGATTTAATATTAGTATCTTTATATATAATTTATATCATAATAGATTATTAAGAAAATTTTACTTGATTTGAAATAAAATATGTAAACGCAATTATAGTTCATGTTGCACATGGTTAATAACATAATATATATGCATGTATGTACGTATGTATATATGTTAGCCATAAATAAGGCAGATACATTATTTGTAACAAAGATATGTTAGAAGGTTCTAAATAAATGATAAAATCATTAATTGAACAAAAATTACACATTAGTTTTCTTAAAACATTTTTACAATGATATTTATTTTACAGATCTTCAATAAATATTGGCAAAGGCTTTGAATTTAGAATTCATAGTCTTAGCTTAGTAATATATACTAAACTTTTTTATTTGCATATATTATTTACAAAATTTTTATAGTACATTGAATTAAAACTAATACAAATATCAAGTAAAAAAAAAACAAGCATGTTAATATGTAAAAGTACACAAATATTTAAAACAAATATGATAAATAGCACGCAGTCGTTAAATAGTGGTACAATTATAACCAGAACATGTACCACTCCCATGTTCTTGATTGTTTGTTAAATGTAAACGACCTGCAGAAAGCTCTTCCCATAAACCAGGAGTCTGGATAATTTTATGAACTAACTCTTCAAAAGCACATTGTACGCCCGTACATGTTTTTGCACTTGCTTCAATGAATAATGTTTTGTGTCTTCGTGCAAACTTCAAACCTTCTTCACGAGACACTTCCCTGGGCTCTTTATCAATTTTGTTCCCCACTAACATTTTGACAAGATTGGGTCTCGTACTATAGGTATCCAGTTCGCTCAACCATTCTTGCATTTTGTTGAATGAATTCTTATTGGAAACATCATATACTAATATAGCTCCCTGCGCATCTCTGTAATAGCTAGGTGTAAGTGTTCTGAAACGTTCCTGTCCTGCAGTGTCCCATATAGCTAATTTTATGACAGATCCGTCAATAGTGATTTTTTTCGTTTTGAAATCTACGCCAATTGTTAAGGATTGATCTTCATCGAAATTGTCTTCGGTAAACCTAAGCAATAGGCTAGATTTTCCTACTCCACTTTCGCCAATAATCAGAATCTTCAGTGTTGTTAAAATTTCGTCTTCAGACATTGCGATTGTGAACTATTTTCGTTATATAATTTTATTTTGGGAATTAACACGTATTTATACTTTGCATCATTAATTGGAAGTTCTGACATATGATCGCCATGGGTATGTGAATGGCAATACAAAAGGTAATTACAAAAAAATTCAAATAGCTGTCGATTACTTGTCTGTAAATCACATTTGGTTATAAAATGTAACTCGAATAAATGCGCATCATTTAAATGACAGATGACTCAGCTCTCAGCTGCCCTAAGCAAAACTATACGAGTGTACTTATGTTTCTCAACATGTGTAGATTCAATGATAGCGATTTTTATGTCTTATTTGATTGCGCAACGTTTTTATTTTAAAAAATATCTATTTATTTATATTTTTTAATTTAATTTTTATATTTTTATTTATTTATTAACCCTTTTCACTCGCTAATTCCGAGATTTATATTATATGCGGCATCCGAGTGGAAAGGGCTAACTATAACGAGGATAACAATATTATAACAAGTTACGAATGATGAATATAAATTACAAGAATTTAATTGATTATAATATAATATCGTATTTTGCGCAACGAATTATATATCACATAAATTATATTCATTTTTTTGGTTTTTGATTCTTTTATATTTAAACTGCATGTTTAGTTTTTTCTACTGAATCATGTCAATTATTATATTGTCTAAGGGGTAAGTTATAGTAATCACAAAAAAACGAAAATGAAATTTTTTATATATCTT